GTAATAGGTACACCATGGTAAATATTCGCATAAAACTGTTGAATATTTAACTTATATGGCTAGTTACGTTTCATTCTTACCTCGTCCATTGTGTTCATTTGCTTTTATGTGCTCGTAGCAAAAGCGACTACCTGGCAAACTATAGGGGTTGAATTTTACTTAAATTTATACATTTATCCACCAAAGTCGTTTGATAAAGTGATAAACTTTGGTTAAATAGATTTCCATACAAAGTTTTACAGTTCAGTTATCAAAATGATAAATTTATCACTTTATCAAGTTTATCAAGAGTTTATCACTTTTGATGAAGACCCCTATTGTTTATTCAATAACAGAACAAAGGAAATAAACAACATGAAAATAATATTTGTTCACAATTATGAGCACGGGCATTTTGTTCAAGTACGTGTAGGAATGAAATACAATAATCAATTTCCTTCTGTTTTTCTCTCTGAAAACCCGAATTGTCTCAAATTTAGTGACTTGAGATGACACTGGATTATTGAATACCATCATAACTCTCAGATAATATTTATCACAGCGCACGGCAGTGCGCGCGAGTGACGGAAGCAGCCACAGTAGCATGCTGAAATAATAAGTATACTTACATTTTGTCTCAAAATAAATAAAAAAATTTACTCAATTTATTAAAAACCATAGTTTAAAAGTATTTTTATTGATATTTCTTGTTCCTTCGAAACTCGATAAAATTAAATTTTTCTTTATTTGGAATAAAATTATAATTAAAAAATTATGCTGCAAAGCAACACTTTCTGTAATTCCAATAAACACAGAACCCTGTTTCATATTTTTTCGGAGCTGCACAAAACTCTGGTCACGAAACAGCACCTCGGAACCCTGGTTTTTCCCGTTATTTTTCCCGAATTATTTCATTCGGGTCGTAGTTTTGCAGCTTCGGGCCGTTCGGTTTTGCTTGCCATATTGGCTGCCATATTGTTCACACTGTCATCGCCATATTGAACACCCTGTCAACTAGCTGTCAACCCTAAGATATCTCACTTGTATTCTTCCACAATGGTTTTAATTTATTCATTACTGCCCGTGGCCCGCACGCGTTACATTTGGAGTAAAACAATTCCCCTTTCTTTATACCATGAAGATTTCCTGCTATCTTTGGAATATCTAAATTCATACCCTACATTTTAACATATTTACTTTTTGCATTTTTACATATTTATTTTATTTTTACAACAACAATTAATATATTACAGAATGTCTTTATATACAACGTTCACAGCTTTCTAGTCATTAGACAATACAAACATGTTTTCTCTTGAGGTTACTCTTGAAAGAGCGACATACAGTTGGCCATGTGAAAAACAGTCAACGCTCAAATCTAAGCCTGCAACGTTGAAGGTTTGACCCTGCGATTTATTAATGGTCATTGCAAAAGATGTCTTTACCGGAAATTGTAAACGTTTAAATTGGAATGGTAAATCCGATGGTATCATAGGGATTCGGGGAATCAATACATCTTCGCCGGTACCACATCCTGTGAGTATTGTGCACTCTATTATGAAAGTTTACAGTGATTTTACCAGCAAACGCGTGCCATTGCAAAGTTTAGCCTCACGCTCTACTGAAAATTCTCTCTCTCTCTCAGCTCTATATCTATCCCGAAGCTGACTGAGTCGGGCCTCACGCTCTACTGACGATTCTCTGGCTCTCTGTATTCGATGTCTATCCCTATCTCGGGTGCGGCGAGCCTCACGCTCTACTGAAGATTCTCTCTCTATCTCAGCTCTATATCTATCCCGAAGCTGACTGTGTCGGGCCTCACGTTCCGTTGACGATTCTTCATCTCTTGCTGAACGTAGTCTTCTGGCGTTCACTGTACTTCGACCTATGTCCGAACGACGACGTCTTACAGACATGACTTTATAATTTCAGTACAAAATTTACTATGCACAAATTGCCATATTATTAGTATGTGCCGCAGTAAAAAATATGTAAATACTTACCATTTAGAAACAAAAGATAATTACTGATGTAATATCTTCAAAAATTAATTAATTGGATAAGGATAAATGCTGTATCGATTAAAATCGCTTCGAAAATAACCTATTAGTTGTCGTAAAAAGTAAATGACAAAAAATGTTATTGTGGGTGTAGTCGTTGGAATCGATAGCAAATTTAACGCGCTCCGAATCAATAAAAACTATTCAAAAACTGTATTTTAATTATGTGCGATTTATTAATACAGAACGTGAACAGAGCGGTTTATTTCGCTGAAAAAACACTCACAACTAAAAATTTTTCAAATTTGGGTTTTATGTATAAAAACCCTCAATGCAATGGAATTCAGTACGGCAATAAAGACATGAATTGAAAATACATACATACATCCGAAATTTAATTATGCGAGAGACTCGTACATATGTACTTACATACATACGTACCGAGTTCTTTCACCATACGATCTAATTCAACATGAATGAGGTGGGGTGAGATTCCCGCATAACTTCTAATGTTTCATTCGGTTGACAGCGAACAAACACACAAACAGCTTTTTTTGGAAAAAGTGCTGCTTTTGTTTAAACAATTTTGGTTAAATAAGATATGAATCAACTATTTTTTTTTTGATGCAGAACGAAAGTAAATATTTCAAAGTTTAACTTCAAGTAAGTTTCATTTTAATCGGTGGATTTTTTTATGATTTATGGCTGTGTAAACAAAAAATTTATGGGTTTTTACCACATTTTTTCCGATTGCCACGCCCCCTTTATATATTTCTTCACATTATAACGACATAAACCTTCCTCTGCAACCAATCTATCTATTAAAAAAAACCGCATCAAAATCCGTTGCTTAGTTTTCAAGATTTAAGCATTTAAGGGGACATAGGGACAGAAAAGTGACTTTGTTTTATAATATGTAGTGATATTGCTGTACATATTTGTATAATAGGGAGGATTATTGAGGAAAGGGTGCGAGAGTAGACTCCAGTTATAAGATTATAAATTAAATTTCCAAGAGAAAGTCGGTTCTTTACATATTTTCTAATTACTTTCGAAAATATATTAACTCAAAAAAAAAATAAACAATGCTTCATAGATCGATTTTTTTTAAATCTAACTTCATAAAGTTCTTTAAAAATATTTTGTAAATGAGGCCATAAGAGCTTAGGGGGAGAGTTACAACACAAAAATACATTTAAGGCGCAGCGAAGCACGCCGGGTAATTGCTAGTATCCTATTAAAACTTGATATTTGATTAGTTTTTCGATACCATTTTCTGGAAACCCAGCCAGCAGATAAACGTACTCTTTGGCGGCAGTTCGGTTTTCGTGCAGTTGTCGCATCCGTAAACGTTCAGAAAATGATTAAAATTTTCGTTCATTTTTCGGAAACCATAATTTTAAACTCCCCAGCCAGCAAAATATCCGAAAACGTATCCGAAAATGGAAACAATTTCGTATAAAAACCTGATGTTTCATCCGTTTTCCGATTCCGTTTTCGGACGTTTTTCAGATCAGTTCTCCCACTTAAGTGTTCATCCGAAACGTATGTGCAGAAAACTATCGAAAATGGTTGTAAAACGGATGCGCTTTTGGCTGTTTTCCTAAAATTTGTCTGATCCAATTTTTCGTTGAAAACGATTTCATTATGAACTTCACAGAAACTTTTTCATGGTAACAGGAAACCAAACCAAAAACAAATTTAAGATTCAGCAATTATTTCAAATTTGAATAACTAATTTGAATGTGTTGCTTCTGACGGAATTCGAACTTGGGACCTCCTGAAAGCTAACAAATAGTAGCATACTTCTCTGCACACTCAGCTACTGGCGAATATTTTAAAATTATTGTTTTGAAATAAGATGATGACATTTTCGGATACGAAAAATGAACAAATATGAAAATCGTTTTCTGAACATTTCCGGAAACGAAAAATGTACGAAAACTGCACTTTCGGCAAAGTACGTTTCTCTGCTGGCTGGGTCTTTATTCAAACTGAATATTTGAAAACTTGTACATACATACATAGATATACGTAAATAGTCTGCTGGGGTCCCAGGTTCGAATAGCGTCAGAAGCAACAGATTAAAATAGCAGGAAAAGTATTTTTTTTTTTATTAAATAATCGCTGATTCTAAAATTTTGTATGATTGGTTTTCTGCAACTATAAAAAAACATCTATGGAGTTTAGAATGAAAGCGTTGTCAACGTAAAATTGAATAAGAAAAATTTTAGAAAAACAGCCGAAAACGTATCCATGTCACAACCATTTTGGGTATTTTTGTACTTAGACATACGCTTGGCACACACTTTGTTTGGATAACGTAACCGAAAAACGACCGAAACTGAAATTGGAAAACGAATGAAATATCGGGTTTTAATACGAAATTATTTCCATTTTCGGATTCGTTTCCTGATATTTTGCTGCCTGGGAACTGTGAAAAATTGGAATGCTTGATTGTAATTGTAATTTACGAAGGAGCAAAGTGTATTTTTTTTAATTTTTAAAAATGTATTTTTTATATACATATGTACATTAGGGTGGCCCCTACTTTGAAAAGAGCTCGGATTCTCGTCCCACCCCCTAGAAATGTGTTAATAGCCTAAAGACTAAACTATACAAGTTTTAGTGGTTAAAAAAACAACTGGATCTTAATATGGGAAGTCTCCTAAGAGAACCAGGGTTTTCCGATGGAAAAATATTGATTTTCAAGAATTATATACCATTTCTACCAAAAGTTCTTTTTTCACCGTATAAAATACATGGGAAACTTTGAGTGCTTTGACAACCCTCTAAATCTTTTTTGATTGACCTAAAACTTTGTATAGTTTAGTCTTTAAGCTATTCACACATTTCTAGACCGAGAATCCAAACACTTTTATTTTTCTTCATATAACCAAGGGCCATCTTTATGTACATATGTCCTACATATAACCATATGTTCTTTATAGAACGATCTATCGGTCCATAGAATTTTCATCGACCTTCTTTACAGCCAAACTACTTCGTATTTATTTATAGGCCCGACAAATATTTGAAAAGGAAGCCGAATCTCGCACCTGTGTCGTTAGCAATGGATTCCTAATTCTATTCCAGGCGTCTAGTAATGCCGGTGGGGATGCTCCATCTACATCTGGCGCAAGCAATAACCTCACATTGAATTTAAACGGTGGAAATATGATTTCTCCTGCGCGCTCTAGTAACAGTCTCACGAGTAGCATTGGTGGTAAGAATAAAGATGTTTTGGATAGCGGTAGCGATGAAACTGGTTCCAACGCCTGTGCTGACTCTGCGGCCGGTGTTTAAACACCCTCTGATATAACAATAATACAGTATTTAGTCTTGCAAATTTAAAGCAAGGCGGAAGGAATATATTTTTGCGTATAAGTATAGTGTAATGGAGGAGTAATAACAATCAGTTACTAACTATACACGTACGTATATGTAAATGGAACTATGAGAAGCATTGAGATGAAATTACTAATGTTAAAAATATCTAAATTTTGTTTGTGCATTAAATATGTAGAAATAAAATTCTACTTAATATGTGTTTGTAGACTAAGATTAAAATTACCTTCGTTAGACTTGAAGTACATATACACATACATACAGCGTTTGCCAAATGAGACCTACCGCAGCAGGTACATGGTTTGCCTAGCCATGTGCGCACTCGCTCCATCTTGTGGGAACCACAAATTAGGACGTGCGCTGCCGTTGGCCGCAACAAGTTGTCAGTAATTGTTCTATAAGAAGCCCCCAGAAATCGTTCTGGCGTTTCATCCTCAATCTCGAAGAAATATAGGCCGATAACTCTTTCGGCCATAACACCGCACCAAACAGTGCATCCGGATTGGGGTACCTGATGCTGGTGTGTTGCCCTTTGATTTACAGAGCTCCAAAATCTACAGTTTTGCTTAGAAATGTGATTCATCCGGCATCAAAACATTACCTAAAATATCAATTTATGCGGCAAATTGTGTAAAACGCATAGCGTATTGTAGTCGTTGTTGGTGGACTGTAAGTATCCATTATGATTTTCTTAGAGATTAATTATGACACAAAGAAAATAACAATGATTCTAAAAATAAAGAAGTTATACGTGTTAAACATTGGTAGGTCTTATTTAGCCCACCCTGTACATGCACTTGTGGTCAGCTGATTAAGTCAAGTGACATTTTGACTATTATTATGGTGTCCAGAATTTCAAAGAACAATAGAATAACATTCGACAGTATCAAAAACAGACAGTATCAGGGAGGCTCATAAATTTCAACTCCAAACATGAGATGAAAACAATTCTAAATACGGCTAGCAATTTTAAAAGAAGAGTTCTCTCTCTTCTCTTGCTAGAAAAAGGTAATGCATCCCCGTTTTCCCAATGGGAAGCTAAGATATTAAGTTGTGTTTTGTTGTACGTTTTGTAAATAATTATTTGTATATGTAACCATATTGTGTTCTTTGCAGTCCTGAAGATGCCTTTAGATTACAGGCGAAATATCGATAGTAATAAACAAAAAGGAATATAAGACATCCAATTGCTTTATTTACCATCGGCCTAGAGCTCAAAAAGCAATCAAAAGATTACAATAAACGGCCAGAAAACAAACCTAACCGAATTCAACAAACTTTAACATTTACACCCAAAAATTTTAAAATTTTTATAAAAAAATTTTAGTAAAATTTGAGGTAGGGAATTTTACAGCCCATTAAATTTTAGTTGGTAAAAGTGCAAATTTTAAAACGCTAGAAAATCTCGTTTACTTTTAATCATTTTTTTTTGTTGACGATGTTAGGCATTTTCCTCCATATAAAAGTAATCGTCGACCATACTTTATATCACAGCTGGGCAGCATCTGCGCCCATACATATACACGCTCTGCTTGGGAAGGCTGCGAAAACTTCATTCAACCGCACGACTTGTTCGCACGCACACAACAAAAAATACTCTGCCGAAACTGCCCACCTCTGTTTTATATGGAAAAAATGCTTAACCCCGTCAGCCAAAAAAAAATATTAAAAGTCAAGCGACTTTCTATCGTCTTCAAACTTGCACTTTTACCCACTAAAATTTAATGGGCTATGAAACTCCCCACCTAAAATTTTTCTAAAAATGTTTAGTAAAAAGTTTAAAATTTTTGGGTGTAAATGTTAAAATTGGTTGAAATTGGTTAGGTTTGTTTTCTCAACAGCGGCAGCCAAAAATTTATTAAAAATCAACGCATACTGCATACCTTAAATTTTTCTAAAAAATTTTAATAAAAAATTTAAAATTTTTGGGTGTAATTGGTAAAGTTTGTTTAATTTTTATAAATTTTGTACGAAGTTTTAAAAGTGGATTTATGTGTCGCTGGTTATATGTATAATGTGCTAAAATTTTATAAAAAATATAAATAGGCAAAAGAAAGATAGCTAAACCTGGGCAAAATGTCACATAACTTAATCAGCTGACCACAAGGGTATGTACAGACATACATACATTCATCTATTACCTGGAGTAATTTTGTACTAGTTATTATTAACTGTTATACAAAATACGTATGTGTGTTTGTGCAGTGTACAATGTACATCATCAATACCAAGGCCCTATTTCGAATTTTTGTAGAAATTCGGTTTTTAAATAGTCCATTAGTTGGCTCTCGAAAACAATCGTATACTAAAATTCAAAGGCATATCTTCAAAAATACGAGCTAGATCTGTATGCATTTCCATGTAAAATTCCAAATTTGTCAAATAGGGACATTTGCATTGGTCGTGACAATATGTTAAGGGCCGGTTGCTCACTAATCCCCGGTTAAACATCGTTATCGACGTTACCGACACCGTGCTATATTCGTGTCAACCAGGCTTAGAGCAACCGGCCCTAAAACTTTCTTTATCCTTTTTTAAACTCATCAACTTCACGGCAATAATTCAATGTGATGTCTATTCTTTAGTAATCTAACTTATTTATCTCCACGAAATATACTTTTTATGTATCTGTTGTCACGGTTGTAATTTTATTTTAGCTTTAACAGTTATGTATACGGCTTTTCCTAACCCAGAAACAGGAAATAATAAATCTCTTCGCGTTTGCGCACAAAAACGAATGAGCTCAACGTTTATTTATTAAATTATGTACATACTAGGGATGCCAATCCCTAATCCCGGTCCCGGGATCCCGATGTTTTTGATATTTGATAGTAAGAACTTGTTTATGAATTTTGAAGTATGATTTTTGTAAAACGTTTGAAACTGTACTTTTAAATTGCAGACTTAGCCTTTTTGAAGAATATTTAAATGAATGTACTCATAGCGTTGCTAATGTCAATGAAACAGAGAGTTTCAAGAAAAAGTTACATAATTTCTTAAATCAATATACTCAAATCTAAAAAGTTATAGTTTATCCGACGTGCTGGTAAAAGAAGTTCAAATATTTTGTAGTGTAGGAGATAGAGGTCATTATCTTCAAATCGCTTATAACTACCTTTCGACAGTTGAGCCTAAAATTGTTGAGGCCGAAAGATGTTGTTCATCAGCAGGTTTTGTATGTAACAAGTTCAGGTCAAGATTAGAAGACTCCGCTTTAAATAGTTTGCTGCTCTTATGTACACATTGTGCAAGTACCATGTTGACCGAGCTTTGAACGGAGTGCATACAATTTTTACAATTTTCAAGGTTTGGATAACAGATACTGGTAATTTGGACGGCTCTAAAAAAATATTTTGGAAAAAAAATGGATTTCGATATCTAGTTAGTAAATTTCTTACTCTAAAATTTAGGTGGCAACCCCATTCTGAAATACGCTGGAATTGAGCGTATATGTACTGTGTATACTAACAAAAAAATGCTAATTAAAATTAACAAAATATAAAATTATTTTACATAGAAGCGTGGCAACCCTGATCAAAAATATTTTCTGTCCAAGGTTCTCAACAATACCATTCATTTGATGACCATATTGCGATGTTTTAGATAAATTGTGAAGAATCGATAATAAGTGGCAACCTTTCTTCCTAAGGGATAACATTTTGTATTTAGGGAAAGCATTGTTTAAGAACCTTCTCTGGGTACCCATGAATAGTAACATTTTACCTTTTTTTTCTAAACAAAAAATTAAATAAATATGCGATTCAAAATATATATATATATGTATATATATCCATATGGTTCTCGGAAACGGCTCTAACGATTTTGATGAAATTTTGTACACAGATAATGTTTTGGATCTTAAGGTTATCTGAATAGCCACTATCTCCGAGAAGACTCGTAAGTATAAGGTTGCTACCCATTCGAATTTAGTTACAAATTAATTAAGACGTCATAATATTATAATATTGGTATCAAATCGAAGGTACTTTAAAGATCCCGAATTAAAAATATATTTTGAATAGGGTTACAAGAATTGCTTGTTAATAATTAGATAATAACAACACCGGCCCAAAAAAAGGGGTGTGCTTCTAACCAGACCCACCTACCGACATGTATTTCGACCCGGTGAATCCGAATCTGAGGTCCGGTTGACTCGTTCACCCTCAAAATTTCGAGTTAATTGCGAAAAAATGGCAAAAAATCGCCATTTCTGTATGAAGTAGAATAAACATGTTTAGAGAATTTATGTTTGTATATTTTTTTTTATTAATTATTACTTTCAAAAGTACATTGTTATTTGTGATGTATGCGTTCCTGGACCACATGGTTTTTTAAAAACAATTTAAAAAATGTATTAGGTACTTTTAGGTTTGTCTGAATTAATAAATATGGGAGTTTTACAATAGTTTATCGTAAATGTTAAATAGTTTTATTTCATGGTATCTTTAAATGCTTTCAGATATTGAATTTTTACTCATATTAATAAAAGTTATGACTCAATGTGAATTTCGGGATAAATATCGGGATCCCAGGATTACTGAAAAAATATCCCGAAATCCCGGGATCACAATTTTCCTCATATTTTGGCATCTCTAGTACATACGTATACATATGTATGCATGAATTAATATATTTAATATGGTGTTTTTGTAAGTTTGTTTGTCATCTCTGGGACGCGGTTTTTTATTTCCAATACTGGTATTTAATTAATTTGATAATACAGTATGATAGCATTTATAAAAATATGAGTAGCAATATTATTCCTTTTACGACTTGTACTTTTATTCTTTCTTAAAAAGAGTTATGTATGTACATATTTTATATGTATAAATCTCAATTCATCTGCATGTATTTGAATCGGCTTCACAACTGATATGG